ATGCCTCCCATTGGCTAATCAGCACAATACACAAATTAACCACCAACAAAGATGGCGGTTAATTTGCATATGTAGGCTCCAAGCGGTGGAGCAAAGCCTGACGACCGGGAGCCAGCGGAGCAGCGAGGCCTCATGGCTCCGGGGCCAGTGGAACAGCGAGCAGCGAGGCCTGACGTTTCCGGGGCCGGGGGAGCAGTGAAGCCTGACATTTACGGGCCAGCTCCAGCCAGAGCGAAGGCCTGGGCGCCCCAGGTGCCAGAGGCAAACTGGTGCCAGCAGCCAGGGGAAAGGAAGCCTATTGCACGAATCTCTTCGTGCAACAGGCCTCTAGTTTAGGAATAAAGTGATATGATGTCTAGAATTTACTTCATTAATAAAGAGACAGAAAACAAGGAGGTGCAAGAAGAAAAAAATGTTAACTAAATGAAGGTTACATTGGAATTTATAATACTATTTTCTGTATGTTTGAAATTTATCTTAGGAAAAAATTGCATATGCAAATTATCTCATTTTGGTTAAAAAGAAAAACCCTGTAAGGACACAAGCTAAGTTAGGAAATCTGGTAGCAAAAAAAAATGTATTATTTTCTTATTTTCAATTATATGTGTTTTCTAAGATTCTATAATAACAATTTAATGCTTTTATATCAGAAATTTTAACTTCATACTAACTACAATAATTAGTAAGTATCTAATTCAAGATTGCAAACTAAACACAGGCTTTTGTTGTTCACTCCTTCTAAAAGAACACTGAAATAAAAGTAATGAAGAAATATTCCTAAAAGAATATAGAAAAAGGATAGAGTTGTGAAAGAGAATTGAACCAACCAACAAATAAGAGATGTCAATAAAATTTCTGAACAATCGGAATAGATTGGAGACATGCCAAAAGGTGAAAGAAAGCTATAAAAGCTGCAACCACTTGTGCATTATGAGAAAGTTACAGAAATGATCTATCCCTTTAAAAGTCCATCTAGGCTTAGAATCAGCCAGTGATCCAACAATAGGGATCGTAAGTATGAAGTGATTGTGAAAATATTATAATTAATTGAAAGACTATATACAGAACTCACTATTCAGCACTCAAGTCCTTCCTCAACATTGACTAAACAGAACATTCAGGTGTCTTGGCATTTATCTCAGAAGAAAAAAAAGGGAAGGAGGCAGGGAGGGAGAGACTATCCTTCTCCAAAGAAACTGAACAAGTTGCCTGGAGAGCAGTGGAGTTTCTAGGTAATTATTAACATATGCGGGCTCAAACCAATCAGTGTGCCATCCTCCCACTCAAATCTAAGTCTGACAGTCAACACGTCTCACCCACATACACAGACTGGACAGAATAATAAGGATCAGCCCCAGCCAATTTGGCTCAGTGGATAGAGCGTCAGCCTGCGGACTGAAGCGTCCTAGGTTCAATTCTGATCAAGAGCACGTACCTCAGTTGCAGGCTCAATCCCTGGCCCTGGTCAGGGAGTGCATGCTGAGGCAACCAATCAATGTGTCTTTCTCACATTGATGTTTCTCTCTGTGTGTCTCTCCCTTTCCTTTCCACTCTCTAAAAATCAATGGAGAAATATCCTCGGGTGAGAATTAACAAAAAAGAAAAACAAAACAAACAGAAAACAAAGAACAAGGATCAAACCTATTTACACATCAGTAGAATAAACCTAAATTAGCTACCTAGAGTGATGGCGAACCTATGACACGCGTGTCAGAGGTGACATGCAAACTCATTTTTTTGGTTGATTTTTCTTTGTTAAATGGCATTTAAATATATAAAATAAATATCAAAAATATAAGTCTTTTTTTTACTATGGTTGCAAATATCAAAAAAATTCTATATGTGACACAGCACATATAGAGTTAACTTAGGGTTTTTCAAAATTCTGACACGCCGAGCTCAAAAGGTTCGCCATCACTGACCTAGACCATCTTTCCAGGACAACCAAGCATTATCAGGCAAGTGAGGAAAACTAGCAACATGAAAGATTAACAAATATTTTAAGTAATTCAGAAGGATAATTCAGAGAGAAGAGAGGCATCTAACACATTCAGAAAAATATGAGAAAAAAAATCTATAGACAAAATAAGAACAAGATGCTGGAAAGAAGAAATCTCTAAGCATGTAAAGCAAAAGAACACATGAGATAAAAGATAAAATATTAAAAGATCCAATATCCAACTAGTAGGACTCCCACAAAAAGAGAAGAAAGAAAAATAAAAAAATATATTGTAATAGTTCTCTATTGCTGTTTAACAAATTACCCTAATATTCAGTGGCTTATACCAACATTTACTATCTCACACAGTTTCTGAGGATCAGGAATCTAGGAGCAGCTTAGATAGATGGTTCTGCCTTGGGTTCTGTCATAAGAATGTTAACAAAAAAACAGCTAGGCTGTGCCCATTTCTGGAAGTTCCACATCTAAGCTCACTCACATGACTATTGGCCAGAGGCCTCAGTCACTCACCACACAGTCCTCTCCATAGAGCTGTTCACAATAGGGCAGCTGACTTTCCCCAGAATGAGTAATCCAAAAGAGAGAAAGCAATCAAGACAGAAGCCACAGTGTCTTTTAAAACCTAACCTCAGAAATGACATATCTCACTTCTAGCATATTCCAATGGTTAAGTACACCAATTCTGGTGCAATTTGGGAGAAGAGTTCACAGGGCATAAATATCAGGAGGCATGGATGGATCACTGAGGGTCACCTTGGAGGATGACTGTTATACTACTATCAAGAAAATCATAGGAAACATTTTTCTCAGAGCTTCACAGATATAAATCTTCAGATTAAAAGGCCATTAAGTACTAAAGAGACTGAAAAAAGATCTACCTAGATATAAATCATAAAATCTCATATCTCTAAGAATCAGACAACTGTAAAAGTGTCACAGAAAAGGGGGTGGGGGGATGCTCAGCTACGAAAAAATAAAAACAAACTACCACCAGACTTCTCATCAAATGAATAATAAAAAGACAAGGGAGTATTGCCTTAACAGTTGTGACAGAAAATGTGTATCAACCTAGAATTCTACATTCATCCAAATGAATAATCAAGCATGAGAGCAAATTGAGGTCCCATCCAGAAATATAAAGAATTATAAAGATTAACCTCCACACAAGCATTATTAGGAATATACTTGAGGCTACACTCCAATAAAACAAGACCAAAAAAACGAGATAATATAAGATGTAGGAAACTCTAGATCAACCCTACAAGAGAAAAATTCCAAGGCAATAGCTGTACAGTATGCCTACAAAGCAAATGGAAAAGAATAACAGAAAAAGGACAATATCTTTGAGTAGAATAATAGAAATGCCATAAAGATATATTAGTTAAGAAAAAAGTGTAGTTGAAAACCTCAGGAAAAACAAAAGACAATATAACAAAGTAATAGCCCAAATAGAAATGAGTAAAAGGTGGTATGGTTTTAGCAGTTGAGAGAACTATAAGAAAAGAGGCTATATACTAAACACAATTTCCTTAAAGTGGTCCAGGGTCAGACCACTGAACTCAAAAAAAGTAAATGTATCCTAGCACGCTACTTAGGTAGCCCTGTACTCAACAACACTCAAAAGGCCATATTAATTGTTTTTAACTTTTATAGAGTCAAGCTTTAGATGAAAGACTTGATTGCAAATGTAAAACAAAATGTTAGCAAGCTTGACAATTTTAAAGTAAACAAGTAACTACCCTGGCCGGTGTGGTTCAGTTGGTTGGGCATCATCCCATGCATCAGAAGGTCACAGGTTCAATTTCCGGTAAGGGCACATGCCAGGGTTGCAGACTAAATCCCCAGTTAGGGGGCGTGCAGGAGGCAGCCGATCCATGTTTCTCTCATATGGATGTTTATCTTTCTCCCTCTCCTTTCCTTTCTAATAATCCTTTTTATTAAATATTTTTTTTAAAGTAAACTGTTAAAAGGTGGAAGACAGAGATGAGAAAAATAAGAAAGACAGAGGTGCTTATTAGTTCATTTTATATAAGGAGTATGAAGAAACTGATTAGAGATACAATAATTAATAGATATTATAATTATATTTAATATATGAAAAACAAAAAATATAATTATCAATATTTGGAAAGAAGTAAAAGAAGAGATGGAGAAAGGGAATGTAGTGTCAACAAACTAAATTCTTATCTATCATATAAGAAAGTCAACTGATATTAAGTTAATCCAAAATACAGAATTTAAATATTCTTTACATCGAAGTTATATCCTGAACAAAAACTCCACTGTTGATGGTTTAGAAGATACTATGCTACATCCGGACTGACCCCACTCCACACCTTTTCATTGGTTATGTGTGCTTTTGTGCACAAAAGTGCATGAGAATGTATATGCATATGTGACTGCACATATGTATATGCATTTCAACTAAATGCATATACATATGCATTTTCTTTCAGCATTTTTGTCTAAAAACATCACTGGATTGCAAGAAGTGGTCAGGGAAGGAAATATCCAGGTTGATATAAGACTAAGATTAATTGAGATTTAATCTATTTCTCCAATATTTGTAAAAGATTACTCAAACCAACCTACCATCAAATGGCATTGCCTCTCATTGTACAAATGCAAATGAAGTGAGAAGTGCACCTAATTTCAAATAATGCTGCAAGGTGGGAGAAGGAGGAAGCACTAGGTGTATGTGAAACTGTTTAAGGATCTTGAAATAATTTCACTTACACAAAAAAAATCAGAATAAGTAAATGCATTATGGTGAACCTCACAAATCTAAAAGAAAATTTAACATTAGAGAACAGTGGGAAGAAACTATTGATACCATCAGGAAGAGCTTTCTAACTGCAGCTACTCAACAACAGAATGTACTTCCTATAATAAAGATCTGATCTTCTATCAATCCATTGGTTAAGTAAAGAACAGAAATAATCTCTCTGTAATGTTTAAAACTTATGGAAGATTAGACTAAATAGTCCCCAAAATAGTAACTGTAATTACGAAAGTTCTAAATTAATAAAGTTTGACTTACCAACATCCATTGCAGTTTCCATAAAGCTTTTTTGTCGTGAAGCAAACTCTGCAAGCAATTTTTGCTGCCTCTCTCTAGCCTTTTGTCGCCTAGATTAAACAGAAATAAAGTGATAAGTACCAGGCATGCTAAGGCTTATTTGCTATCTTTCAGGAGTGTATGATGTATGAAAAGGCCTTTGTACAGTTAACAGCAACATGAACTTGGGATCTAATGATTGATTTTTAACATAAACAAAATGTTAATTTTCTTATTTGAAAAGCTGTACTGTGATTATATAAGAAAGTGCCCTTATGTCTAGAAAATACACACTAAAGTATTTCAGGGTAAAGCAATTTACTCTGAAATAATCCAGGAAGTTCTTAGTACTATCCTTGAAATATTTCTGTAAGTTTGAGATTTCTTTAAAATAAAAAGGTTTGGGGGAAACCAAGATGGCGGCATAGGTAAACACCTAAAATTGCTGCCTCACACAACCACTTCAAAAATACAACTAAAGACAAAACAGACATCACCCAGAACCACAGGAAGGCCGGCTGAGTGGAAATTCTACAACTAGAAGGAAAGAGAAAAGCACACTGAGACTCAGCAGGTGCGGAAGTAAAGTGCAGAGGTACGGAGGCGCGTGGAAAGGGCTGGCAATGGAGGACGCCAGTGTCTTTTTCAATCGGGAGGGAGTCTCAAGCTCCCGACAGCCCTTACTCCAGTTCAGGCGAGTCTCTGGGAACCCAGACTCATAGGTGGAGAAACTGGACTGTCTGGCAGCAGACAGAACTCAAGGGCAGCTTTCTCTAAGAGGTGCTTGCAGCAATTACTGGGACACTGAGACAAGGGGGCCTCATAGGGTAGGACTGAGGATCAGCCATAGCTGCTTGCTCCGCCCTGTTGATTCCCTGAGACCCCGCCCTACCCAAGCTGCTAGCAGAGGCTTTTGCATATGAATGGGCTGGCCCTTTGAGATCTAAAATTACCTAACAAACTGCAGCTGGGTCAGAGAGAACCAGAACATCCAAAAGAAGGTTCAAGGCCCCACAGCAGCTTGCACTGCTTCACAGCTGGGCTTCATCTGAGCACTTCCAAACCCCAGACAAAGAAGAGGAATCTGCAGATCTCTCCATAGCTCCTGCTGGATAGCCTCAGGCAGAGGCTAAATTAGCACCTCCTTAGAGATACAAGAGCCCGTGTACCTGGTGGTCAGAGTGGGACCATCCAGATTACAACTCCTCAGATCCATAAAGGACACACTAAGGGGACAGACTCAGTGAGCACCGTAGCCCCACTGAAGCAAGTCTTGCCCCAGAAAGATGTCATCAGCACAGATGTTCTCCCACTGTACACACAGCTGATTCTCACAGACAATTGGCCTGGAGGTCAATTCCTCCCAATGATACCTACAACAATCAAGGCTTAACTACAACAAGACTGTGCACACAGCCCACAAAGGGGTGCACCAAGAGTGTCTACCTCAGGTAATTGGGGAGGCTCAGCCACTGGGCCCTATAGGACATCTAGCACAGAAAGCCACTCTATCAATACAGGGAAGCAGCAAAAATGAGGAGAAAAAGAAACAGATTACAAATGACAGAAATGGAGGAAAGCAAACTACTGGATATAGAGTTCAAAGCCAAGGTTATAAGGTTTTTCAAGAATTTTCTAGAAACCGCCAATAAATTTAGTGAGACCCTCGTTAAATCTAGTGATACA